AAATAAAATCAATGTTAATGCTGGGTGTAATTTTAAAGCATGCTAAAAGAAGAAAAATAGTTTTACTTTACAATATCAGAGTGACTCCTCATGATTAATCATTTCCCCAACCACCCTAAAATTTGTTCTCAAAATAAGATATGGGATCTGCAATCACCTGAGTGACTTCAGAATTGTATTCAGGCTGGCTGTTTCCTGGCCCCACCCCTCTCAGAGCAGAATCCTTTGGGGGGTGTAATCCAAGAACCCGAAGTTCTGCTAACTTCCCAATGATTCTAATGCATATTCATGTTTGAGCATCATTGTTTTAGAAGTTCTCAGAAGTTCTCAGAATCACAGTGTCAGCAGATAACAGGAGGGAGAGACCGATTGCCTCTCTTGAGAAGTAGGCCATTCCTCTGGAAGCCAATTTACCCAGGAGTCAACTCACTGCTTCTTTGACTTTACCAAATTTGTTAATTTGCCAAAAACATGTTTTAAATAATAACCTCTGAGATGTTTTCAATGAAAATATTCTCTATGAACATCTGATTGTATTCTGCCTGAATATGTTAGTAACTACGCATTAAGAAAATATTACTATTTAATTTGGCATATTCCTTATGAATATATTTTTTGCAAACCTATTGGTAAGAAAATGAAATATTTTAAGTAGCATATTTAAAAGAAAAATATATCCATAAGAAGAATGTGTCTATAAGAAAATGAAATTGTTTTAGGCCTCTGAGCTTTTGATAAATTGAATATTCCTTAAGTGGTTAAGGAAAATACATTCAATGAGGATATTCAAGAACTTCTTGAGAAATTGTGAATTTAGTGATTTCAAAGAATTGTCATTTGGCCAATTGATCCTTTGGGAATTCAACTTTGGTTGACCTGACCTTGAGTTCCCTCAAGAAGCCAGGGTACCCGACTCATGCTGAGGTTTAGGAGCAGTCTGGAGGCCTACGGGGCTGAGGGTGGGTTGAGAGAGCACAAAAAGAGCTGAGTGTGGCCTCTCTCCTCTGAATGCTGGATGTTCACCCACAGGCTCCAAGACAGCCACTGGGGGCTTTCTTCTGTCCTCAACCATTTGGATCTGGACCCACCCAGCTATTTTATCCCAGAGAAAAACCGCTCTTATCAGTCTTTTAAAAATGGGAGATTCTTGCTTTTGGGGGCTTGAAAGGGAGGGTTTGCAACTTAACTGGGGAGATGGGGACAGACTGCACCCTTAGAGGAAACCCCATGCATTTACTCTGCCTCACCTAGAGGTGGGTGCTCCCCCTGAAGAAGCTCCTTCCTTCCCTGGGGGACCCCTTGGGACACAGCGATAGCTCTTTGCTTATAGTCTATTTTGATGGCTAGAGGGTTTTTTGTTTTGTTTTGTTTTTTGGTTCCCGGGATTGAACTCGGGACCTTGCACTTTTGAGGCGGCAGCACCACTGAGCTAAATCCCCGGCCAGATAGCTCTTGGCTTATGCAAATCACGAATGACCATTACTTGGTGAGCAGCTGGTGACAGAGCCTTCAAAAGGAGACTGTTAATGGCAGCGGCCATGGGCAGACTTAGAGCATCTCCAATAATCCGATAACTATCTCTGATAATCAATCACATTCATTGAGAGCTTTCCATGTAAGAGTAAGTCTATTCGCCAGTGTCCGTCTAGTATCTCACTGAATCCTCAAGACAGCCCCATAGTGTAGGTGTTTTCGTAATTCCCCGTTTATAAATTGTGAAATTGAGGCCTGAGGTGCTAAATCACTTGTTTGAGCCCTTGCGCCCACTCTGCAGTTATTTTGGCAGCAAGCAGGCTGGCTCCAGAGTGCCTGGCCTTCTTGGGTTAGCAAGAAACGTGCATTTCCTACAACCTGTCTGGTGTTGGTGCCGTCCCGAGGATGAGTGTTTTAGATTCTGAGGCAGTACAGGCAGTAATACTCTCAAAGCTGGCCTGCTAGGAACTTGTTACAGATGTTGAGACTGGACCAAAGGCAGTTAACTGGGTTTTGGGTATTGGGGCCACGGCAGGGGAAAGCCAGTGATTCTTTGCTGAGTCACAAAAAGAATCAACCATCCAAGTCCTGAAGAACTCCTTTGAGGGTCGGACCCTGAGGGGGGCAGGCAGATTTAGACATGAGCTTTTACTTTCTTTGTAGAGTTGCCAGAGCAAATATAGGATTTCCATTTAAATCTGAACTTCAGATAAGCAACAAAATTTTAATATAAATACATTCCAAATATTAAACTTATAAAGTTTTGTTGTTGTAGCTGTTTATATGAAATTTAAACATGATCAGGAGTCTAGTATTTTCATTTGCTAAATTTGGCACACAGTTTGTTTGAGGAGACAGCCCATAACCCAGGCAGTGTGTTAATCAGGGCAGAGTATGACGGACAGATAATGAGGTCTTTGGTGGGAGAAGGGAGAGTTCTGGATTTAAACCCAAGGAGATAACAGATGTTCTGGATAAGGGACCTAGCAGGAGCCTTGTCAAGGCTCCTGGGTAGGTGGAAATGATCTGGGAGGGCGGAGAGGGAGGAAGGCTCAAGGCACATGTGGGGACAGGAACAGGCAGTGAAATATCCGAAGGAGACTCCTTCTGTAGGACCAGATGTGGAAGGTCAGCCTGGGAAGGTCTTGAAGGTCCTGGTAGAATTATTTTGTTTCTGTTTTTTGGAGACAGAGTCTTGCTATGTAGTCCAGGCTGGCCTCGAACTCTTGGAGATCCTCCTCCCTCAGCTTCCCAAGTGGTGGGATTATAGGCGTGTGCCACCGTGCCCGGCCTGTGCTGGTAGAGCTTTTGGTCCATGTCCTTTGGATAAGGATTGGGGAATCAATCAAAGCAGGATTTTAGGAAGATTAATCTGGTGGTGGTAAATAGGACTGGTAGAAATGGCGAGTGGATAAATAGAGGTGGGGAATAAGCCTCAGGGTTTGTGTCAGGGGAAAGGAAAGGTGACCAGAGGACAATCCAAAGGAAAGATCTCATCTTTTAGGTAGAACATACAGCTGCCTATCAAGAAGACAGGAAGTTTTCAGAGCCTGTTAGGTGGGAAGCTGACCGTGCTGGGCTTGGGGAGGAGGAGGTAGGCATGGGTGCTGAATCTCAGAGGGGACACGTGCATGTTAGGGACTCCCTCAGCAGTCTGAGGAAGGCTGGTGGAGGCAGGAAGAGGGAGAGTCATGTCATTCTGTTGCAACCTGCCCTGCAACACACACACACACACCCACACACCCACACACCCACACACCCACACACACCCTCATTACTCTGCTTGTTACATTTGCATAGATTTCTATAAAAAGTGAACTCCTGTTTCAACTTTAAACAGTATTTATTTTATTTTATTTTTTTCCATACAGGGGATTGAACTCAGGACCTTGTGCTTGCAAGGCAGGCGTGGTGCCACTGAGCTAAACCCCTGGCCCTAAACAACATTTAGTAGGGATACATTTTAGCTTTTGGGTCCCATTTCTGCTTCTAAGGTAGCCAGTCATTTAAAGCACTTGTTTTGCCGGGGATTTAACTCAGTGGTTCTAGCGCGCCTGCCACGAAAGGTCCTGAATTCGATCCCCAATACCAAAATAAATAAATAAATAAATAAATAAATAAATAAATAAATAAATAAGCAAGCAAGCACTTGTTTTACTGCCAAAGCTGGAAAATGCCTTGGTGTGTGAACTTTCTTTCTCTGGGTCCTCCCACAGAGGAGACAACTCCCACTTCTGGTAAAAGATTTCAAGATTCACTAAGGAAAAATCCTTATGTAGCACAGGAGACGCTGCTGTATGGCCCTCAGGGCCCTTGCTCCAGCCCTGGCACCTGGCCAGTCCTGAAAAGCCCGCTCAGCTGTTCTAGAGCCTCTTGGGCAAGAAATGCAAGGCCAGACAGGTTGGAAATGGAAACCGTCCCAGCCCTTTCCTGGGACTGGGTGGGATGGCTGGGGCCCATGGGGATGGTGCAGGGGGCGGAGTCTTCTCCAGCCAGGGCTGAGCTGCTCCATCCATCTTCCTGCATTAGGGCCTTGAGGGCTGGTTGAGACTTTCCAGAGTGGTCTGTGAGAGACAGAACACAGACCCCTAGCAGCGTATTGGTGCTCAGTGAGAGAACTCCTTACCATCTCACAAAACTTGCCCCAAAGCCTTGCTCCATGAAGCTTGCCATTTCCTCCTTTGACACCTTTTCAGGCTCTCCTGATCTGTTTTCGGGAGAGAGAGGACTTATGTAGCCCCTTGCCCTGGGAGCTTTGGGTTCCTCGCCCTATGTGAGGCTTTGCACTTAGTTCTTGATACCTCTCTGACCCAGCCTGGACCTCCTAATCATGTAGGGTCTAGCCTGGATCAAGACTTTCCAGGGTTGCTGGGAGGCAGTGCCAAGGGCTGAGGGCCTGACCTCCCTGGTAGCTAGCTCCCAGCAGCCTTCCCGGGGTGGGCTGCTGCTAAGCAAGGCTGCCCAGCACATAGCCCCTGTGGCATATCCTGGCTCCTCCCTGAGGCACTGGATTCCTCCTGTGACCCCCACACTCCTCGTGACCACTCCCAGCCAGCGCTGGCCTTCCTGTGGAGTTGGGCCATGGCAGCTGGTCAGGCTGCCTTTCCTAGATGCAGTGAGCTGGTTGGTCTGGCTTCTCCCAGTGACTGCAACAGCGGGAGAAGTGTCTGGGCTGGGGGAGCTGAGGAGCAGTGCCCTTCAGGAGGCAGGTAGGTGGTGGATGGCTGGAGGAGTGAGGGTCTGCTCTGCTGCCCAGGACAGTGGTGCTCAGTGCAGGATGGGACTGTCAAGGTGTGGAGACATTTTTGGTTGTCACAAACAGGAGAAAGGAGTGCTATGGACATCCAGAGTGGAGAGGGTGGGGACGCTGCTAACCACCCTGCAGGACACAGGACAGCCCCACAGCAAGAACTGTGCTTCCCAAATGCTGGATGTGGGTCTGTTACGCCTAGGTGACTATAGCATGCATTGCCATGCATTGAGCATGTATTTAATGAATTTGTTTATTTTTTTGCAATACTGGGGATTGAACCCAGGATGTTGTGCATGTCAGGTAAGTGTTCTACCACTGAGCCACATCCCAAGCCCTGATCACTTCTTTTTGTACAGGAAATTTCACATACATTATTAGATCTCATTGTTAAAATAACCTTGCTAAATAGGTACTATTGTTAGTCTTTGGAAAAAATAGGCCTAGACAATTACATAATTTGCTCAAATCAGAGGTACAAAGGGGCAATGCTGAGATTAGAACCAAATCTTTGACCTTTAAATCTATCTTTAGAAGATCTCTAAAGATTTCTCTTACATGAAGTCATAGAGGAGGATACTTTTAAGTGACACGGGGGCTCTTGCACCCGGTTGAACTGTGCCAGTGTGGGCAGGGGTGCCCAGGAGAGACACTTTGGCAGGTAAAGTGGAGAGAAGGGGCTACTGGAGGGCACAGCTGCTCTGTGAAGGGGTGACTAACACTGCCATGCATCAGCCTCGGCTGGTCAGGAAACATCCTCTTCCCATCCCAGGCTGCGTCCTACCCAAGGGGGCTGCCACTGGACCCTACCCCTGGGCTTGATAGAGCTGCCCAAAGGGAAGGACCAGGCCCCCCCAGAGAGCATGGATTCGGTGCTCTCTGTCCATGTGTCTGTCCATCTTGGAGCTCTGTCTGCACTGCTGGCTGCTGCCATGGAGCTTGCAGGCTGTAGGAGGCAGGTGGTAAACAGGAAATGGTTAAGTAGGAGCAGGTGGAGTGGGTGCGGTGCTGGAACAGGCAGGAAATAGCTGAGCAGCTGAATGGACTCACAAGAATGCTTTGCCAACTCCCCAAGGCTGGGGCAAAGGCGCCGGCTGCCCCCTCCTCCCAGCCCTGCACAGCGAGGTGTCTGGCCTGGCAGCGCCTGGCTGGCCCCACTGTCCTCCTCGGTTCTGCCTGGGGCTGAAAGGAGCAGGCCACGGGGCTAGGAGGAGAATGGTGGTTCCTACAGGGGCGTGAGTGACCGGCTTTGAGGGTGCAGGTTATGAGGGGCTACAGGAGGTGGACAAGATTGCCAAGGACCTGGAGTGCTTTTCCTCTTCTGGTTCTTTGTTCCCCAGAGGGCCCTTTGGATTGACTGGGACCCCCCAGGAGCGGTCGGTCCCACCCTCGGTCGAGCATGCTGCCAGCTGGCTACTGGATGTGGGCAGGAGCTGAACACCCCAGGCTTTTTTCAGCCTCCCATTTGTTCCTTGTAATACAGGTGCCTCTAAGTGTGTGTGTGGGGGGCTCTCAGGAGAGACAGGAAGCCGAAGCGCAGGAAAGTGAGAAGGGCTGGGGCGTGAGCGCCTTTGAGCCTCCACACCCTCCCCTGTCCTCCCTCGGTTCCACTATGGCTCTCACCTTTAGATTCCTCTTGGCTTGAAGGGCTGCCCCTTGCTCTAGTATAAAACCAGGTGCTCTTGGTCCTCATTTGTCCCCTTCTCAGGAAAGCTTAGCTCGGGGCTGACAGCTTTGCTTCCCAGGGCAGGCGCACCTCACGCTGGCCCGTGGGTTTCCTCGCTGCGGAGCAGAAGTCTGGCCGCTCTAGCCTTGAAGTGTTGCTGACATATCTCTGTCTATGAACCCCCAGCAGCCAGGCATGAACTCCCAGCTCAGCAGCTTTACCGTGGGGGCTGTAGCCTCATGGTTGCATCTAGCTCCTCAGATGGACCTGACCCTTGCTGGAGAGGGGTTGACAAGTTGTGGGAAGAAGCTGTGCTCCCAGGTTTTCTCAGGAGCAGGAGACAGCAAAGGGGTCTCACACACAAACTCTTAATAGCAACCCCATTTTATTGGTTATTTATTTTACTCCCATATAGTATGTATTTCAGTAAGTGCATGCATGCATTTATATATACATGTTTTGAATCATTTAATCCCCAGTACAACCCAAAGAAGAGGTACTTTCCCACTTCATGGACAAGAAGCTGAGGCCCAGAGAAGGGAGATACGCTGTCCTCGTGGTAGTGATGTAGTGGGTTCCCTTCTCTGCACTCAAGCCTGGGCAGCTTGGCCTGGAGTCTGCACTCTGACCCGGTACTGTGCTACCTGGGTGAGGAGACTTTGGAGGAGGCCAGAGGGGACCGTGTGGACAAAGGCTGGGAGGCTTGGGACGGTCAGGTAAGGTTGAGAACTCTGAGCACCTAGCTATTCCTAGAGGGCAGGGGTGACAGGAGAGGAGCTCTGAGGTTTGCCTCACAAGGCAGAGCCTTTGACCTTTGTCCAGCCTCTGCTCCATGGCTTGAAAAACCACAGGAAAGAGAGAGTGGGCCTTACAAACAAGGCAAAGAAGTAGATTTACACTGCCTGACTTCCAGAATTGCTAGACAGCTAGAATGATCAGGACAGTGGAAATACTTAAAGGATAAATGTTTATTTTTTTACACCCCGCCCCAACCCGGTACCAGGGATTGAACTCAGGACCTTGCACTTGCTAGTCAACTGAGTAAGAATAATCCAATTTTTAAAATAGGTAATATATTTGAAAATATCCTTCCCCAAGGAAGATATATGAATGGCAAGTAAACACATGAAAAGATGTTTAATCCCTAAATTAAAAGCATAGAAACTACAACATACCTTTTGGAGTGGCTAGGATAAAAACAAAGATCTAATTATCTTAAGTCCCAGGGAAGGTATGGAGCAACTGGAACTCACATATATTGCTGGTGTGGATCCAAAGCGGTACATCCACTTTGGAAAATGGTTTGGCAGTTTAGTATAAAGTTAAATATATTTATTTATCATGTGATTCAGCAGTGCCATTTTTAGATATTTACCAAGGGAAATGAAAAGTTAGGTCCACACAAACATTTTTTACAAATATTTATAATGGCTTTAATCATAATTATAAAAATCTGGGACAACTCAAGGATCCTTTGGTTACTGAATGAATAGTGTTATATATCCATATAGTGCAATACTACTTATCAATGAAAATGAACTTCTGATATATACAGTGACATGGATGGATCTCACGTGCCTTAGGCTAAGCAAAAGATGACAGGCTTTAGACTCCTTTGATAGGGCATTTTGGAAAAGTCAAAACTAAAGAGATAACACAATGAGTGTTTTTGAGGGGCTGGTACAAGAGCCTGATTATAAGGAAGCACTGGAAAACCTGGGGGTGACGTACCTCAGTTCCATTTCTCTATTGTGGTGATGGTAACATGAATGCATGCATTTGCTAAAACTCATAGAATTACAGTTTAATTTTTTTTTTTTTACTGTGTGTAAATTCTTGTTTAAGAAACCTGACCTAATAAACTCTGCAATGCAAGTAGCTTGCAAGGCATAAGCAGAGGTCAGAAGACCCACCCAGGGGCTCATTGGTAGTTGCCATCCTGCCTCCTCAGACCCTGCCTTCCCATCCCCGAGGCCTCAGCAAGCTCCTACAGAAACCTCACTCCCTTTGGCTCCCCCTGGTCAGAAAGGGAACATTAATGAGCTCCTCGTTTGGGGTTCTGAGGCTCTTGTCTTTATTAACTGCAAGTGCCCCTGAAGCACCACTAGCTTAAGTTGAGGGAGGCCCTAGCAGAATGACAGAGGGAGAGGGTGGGAAGGGAGAAGTCTTCCCAGAGGCTGGAGAAGGGTGGGGTGGGGTTATCCTTCAGTTTGGTTCCTGGCACTGGGCTCTTTCCATGCGCCATAGCATGTTGAGGGCAGGCTTAGGAGCTCCATGCAAGGTACCCTTGTTACTCCCCCCATCTTGGTCTTTGGCTCAGACTTCAAAGTGTTGCCTCCTCACCCCCACCTGGAAGCCATAGTCCCCACCTGGGCTTCCTTCCCTAGCAACTTCTTCCTCTATCTCCTAATTGCCCTGACAGGTTAGGGGATTACTTTTTTGTGGCAACTAAACTCAGCCTTCTCTGGGCATATTTCTACTTCCCTGGGTCTTTTGGGTTTGGATGTTTCTGTCTTGCAGGAAGTTTCCTCATCAATGGGAGGAGCACAGTGCTCCTTCTGAGTAGGTGTCAGTGGTCTTGCCAAGCAGATGATGAAGTAGGAGGAGGAGTGCCTGGGACATCTGATTGGACACTGTAACTAAGAAGTGTATCTTGTGTAGAAAATTTTCTTCAGAATGTTCATATATCTTCCCATCACAGGGTCTTTGAACATGCCATTCCTGTCTCTGGGGTGCCTCACCTTTTGAAGTCCTGTTTAACTCCCATTTACTGTGCATTACTGAGGACACAGAAATAAATAAGACAAGGGTCTTTATGTTAAAGAAGACTGGCCTCGGGAGAAGAGTAGTGATAATTATAGTAATGATAATAATAACAGTGGCACTAACAATGGCAGGACCATCTAAGGAGCACTTACTATGTGCCAGGTGTTCATGGCACCAGGACATTCAACCTTCACCACAGTCCGCCAAGTTGTCATTGTTATCACTCCCATTTTATGAAAGAGGGAACAGGCTTTGTGAGGTCAAGCCACTTGCTGACCTGGTAGATGGCAGGGTCGGAACAAAAGTTCAAGGCTCTTGGACTGCAAAGCCATGTTTATGGCTACAGCATTGTCCTACCGCACCCGACAGAGCCCCCTTCTGCCCTGTATGAAGGAGGGTTGTCGTCTAACGCAACTTGGTAGGTCCCTAATTTGGCTTGCCACAGAAGGAGAAGCAAAAAGACATTGGTATATCCCATAGGACGCAGGCTATAGCGACCAGGCAGGGGCGTGGCATATGCTGTTCCCTGGGCCCCCACCTTCCACCCAGGATTCTTCCCATCCACTGCTTTCATGGACAGGGGCATTTCCCAAGGTTCGAAGAATAGAGCAGTCTGCTGGGGGCAGGGGTGATCAGGGCTTCAGCAAGGTACTCTGAGGCATGAACTTCCCCACTTGGTGCTCTTGTACTACATTCTTTGGACAGAGGCAGGGCGTGTACTTGATGTTCAGCCCACAGCAGACCAATAAGTCATCCTCAGGCTCCCAGCATCCTGGTTGGGCTCTGCTGTCTAGTAAACCGAAGACAGTAATTGATGAATAATTTGGGCATGATATGAGGTAACAGCAATGGTTGATGGACTGGGGGCTGACTCACTCTGAAGGCCTTGAGTCAGACCCATGGTATTTCCTTAGGTCAGATGAGGCTGGATTCCCCGAGACACCTGTCTCTGTGGCTGAACTGGAGATATGGGCTCTGGTCAGCAGAAGATGGGGACTTGCTGATGGGACCTGAGGCCAGTGAGAGAAAAACTTTTAGTTCAGGAGATTGTGTTGTGGGAGCTGTGACTTCTTCCAAGGGCTTGTACGACAAAGGGGAAGAGGAGGCCTGTCCAAGGGAGAGGGGATGGCTGTTGAGTGCACAGAAAGAAGTAGGAACATGCAGTGGAGGCCCAGAAAACACAGATGGAAAAGATATAAAATAGGATCCTTGAGTAAGGTTAGATTTCTCCCAACCCTTCTCCTGAGCTGGGTAGAGGAGAAGGAAAACCGGGAAACAAGTTTCTGGCTGTAGACAGACTTTGGAAAGGCCCATGCTCCATACCTTCAGTGCAGTTGCCTTAAAAGTGACCTGGAAGATGGGCATTATGGTCCATGTAATCCCGGCATTCTGGGGGGCTGAGGCAGGAAGATCATAAGTTCAAGCTCATCCTGGGCAATTTAGCAACTTTGTGAGACCTTGTCTCATGTAAAAAATAAAAATGGGCTGGGGATGTAGCTTAGTGGGAAGGTCCTGGGTTCAATCCTTGGTATCATAAAGGAAAAATAAAAATGATGAGAGCAGACCAGGCTGACTGCCCTGGCAACCAGGCAGTCAGCAGGCCCTTCCTCTGGCCTCAGGGCTCTCAGGGCTCCCCAGAAAAGCAGCCAGGATGATGCCCCAGTCAGCTGTCTAAGGACAGTATGCTCTGTTTCTTTCCCTCTTCCTCCACAACCTCAGAGCATCCTCAGCTTGGGGGCTTGAAAGAGGGTGGAGTGGAACACAGCGCTGGACTGTTCTCTTTTTTGTTTTTGTTTTCTTTTGGTTGTCAAATGATTCTTCATGAAAATATTGTCCTTTGTAGTTTGTAAGTGGGTGGACATCCCATCACACCATTGTCAATGCCGTTTATGAAGTAGTGAGGGTGGCACCAGCAACATGGAAACGCACAGGAGGGACAGACCCCTAATGGTTCCAGAGAGCTACTTGGTTAAAGGTAACTGTTGAGCAATGTTCACCATTTCATCTAAAGTGATGTTGAGCAATAGTGTTAGTCCCACCCAAAGGGATGTTTTGATTCTGCTTAATGTCTTTCTGCTTGTCTCCATTCCAGAGCAGTTTCTTGAGGGCTTTGGTGATCACTGCACAGGTAGGTGGCACCTCACTGAAGCTATCTGTTCTGAATGGACAGTTTCACTGTGATCCTCAGGCCCTTTTGGTCACTGCTTGCCTTGGTAATGTCATTATTAGCAACCTCATTTGAAGACAAACCCAGGGCTGTCCTGGGGCCCAGGGCAGGTGCAGCGCCAGCTTCCTTACTGGTGCGTCTCAGGACTACAGCTTTGATCTTGTAGGGTTCAAACTTGGGTGGCGTGGCAGGGGCGATAGATTCCTTGCTGTGACATTCACCATCTTGCTCTCTGCCCTTCCAGACTCCTCTCTCAACACCTAAGCCCACATTCCTAGCCACTGGACACATGGACCTGCCTAACATGACTGCCTCCAAGCTTTTGTACCTGCTGTGCCCTCTGTCTCTGCTAAGCTCCATGTATCTTTCAAGCTGAGACTCCCCTGCCTACAGTCTGGATCCTCATGGAAAGAGCTGAGCCATGATTATGCATATTCCCAGCCTGGCACTGTAACAACTGCAGGCCCTGTATCTAATCCCCTAACACTCAGGCAGCACTCAAAGGTCCTGAGTGCCTGAAGGTAAGAATGAGTAAATGAATGAATGAGCCAGAGGCAAGGTGAGAAAAGGAAACAGACGCATCCCTTATGAGGAAATTGCCTTGTGATGCCTCTCATAACCTTATTCAGGCTGCCCTCTCCAGAGGTCAATTTTTGGGCGCTGCTTCTCCTCTTCTCACCCCTCAGTGATAGGCCAAAGATGCTGGGTATTTGCCCCGCCTCTTCCAAGTATTGCTCGTAGGCAGCTTGCTGGTGGTCCCCAGGCAGCCCAATGCAGGACTTGTCAGTAGGCAGGCACTTAATGCCCCAGAAGCCTAGGAATTCTGTCCATGTTAAACCAGGGGAAGAACCGCACAGTCTGCAGGGAGATCAAAGGGTTCCAGGCTCTGGGGAATGAGGAGGTATCATGGTGACAGTTGAATCAAGGTTGGGTGGGATGGTGTGGGGATTTGGTTGTGGACAGTGAGTGTGTGTGGGGGGTGGAGCCCAGGGTTCTCTGTGAGGGGAGAAGGGGGTGGGGAAGTGTGGGTTACTCTAGCCAGGCCCAGGGCCACTGAATATGAGGTGGTTGCAGCCTTTACAGCAAGAAAATGGACCAGGAAGCAGGGAGCCCAGAGCTGGTCCGGACGGGACTAAGTGCTCCCGGTCCCGGGTTGCTCAGGGCATAGTTAGGGCTCCTAGAGAGAGAGGGCAAGGAAGCAAGAACGGAATTTCCGCACAGAAGCTGCAGAAAAGGTGAGGAAGCCTCTTCAGGACGAGCCCCAGGCCATTCCTCCCTCTTCACAAGCAAGAGCCCCAGAGCCGGGAGTGGAGCCGGGGCCGGAGTGGTTGGGGGCCCGGGCTGCTGGAAGGGCTGGCCCGTTTCCCACCTTCCTGAGGGCAGTTTATATACTAACGGCCCACAGCACCCCAGGAGGGGTGAATGGGGATCCATTTGTTTTTCCACAGTTTGACCTCTGGGTAAAACTCTTACCCCAAAATGTGCTGGTTTAAGTGAAAGCGATAAATCAGCCCCTTTGAAATGCAGAAGCAGCTTGGGGAAGCCCCCTTTGATATGCAACTTGGAACCAGGGCACTTAAAACCTGGGTTAATTCTCTGGCTTTATGGGAGGCAGAGAAAGAGAAGAGGAGGAAACCCAGGGCCGGTCATTAAGTCTAGGGACTTGAAAAGCCCGGGCAGGAGCCGGCAGCCGCAAAGGATTCACGAAGGCAAAGCGGCCCTGGGAAAAGCATCCTCAGCCCGATGAACTCTAATCCCGCTTCCCACCCAGACAGATGAGACGCAGAGGGCGGTGGGAGAGGAGGCGGGCAGTGCAAAGGGGCTCCGAGCCTGGGGAGGTGGTTGCTATGGAAACGGGCCAGGCGCCGAGTAGGAGAAAGCCAAGGGCTAACTTGGCAATTTCCTGAAAGGAGCTGAGAATGCGAGCGAGCGTGGGCCCCTCCACCGGGCAGCTTTGCTTTCCGAGGTCTGGGGACTGCGGCCCCTTCATGGGAGCCAGGGCTGTAGGGCGTGCCTGTTACCTCTGCGGCTCTAGCTGGGCCTTCATTGGAAACATCTGCTGCTCCGAGCTCCGTCACGGGGCAGGGCTGAGCAATGAAGCGCCACGCGATTTTCAGGCGAGGGTGCGGCCCTGAGGCTGCAGAGCTTGTCCCATCCCACTTTCAGGAAGGAGAAGAGGCTGAGCGTGGGCACACGGAGTCCCCGAAGCCACTTGGTCCAGATTTGGGGCAAGCGACCAGTCCAAGTGTGGACTGGTCAGTAGGATGCTTCTGTTCAAGGTCCCAGACGAGAAGCCACCTGCCTACCTGGGCTTGCTTGGTGTTTTTGGCTGGGTGGTGCGGAGGGAGGTGGCTGGTAGAGGATGGGAGCTGAGTAGTTCTTGCCAACACCTGGTCCCCTCTGCCCTGTGGGTACACATTTTCTATGTAGTTGGGCCAGCCTTTTGCCCTGCGCAGTTCTGGCTCCGTGGGCTGTGGTTTCACATGCACTAAAACTCAGGGCCAGCCTAGGATCAGTGACAGGGGCCTTCCCTGAGTTCCCTCACACTCCCCACACCATAGGAACCAGGAATCCAAGTCCATTTGGAGGAGCTTCACCTCCGCTGGGACTTCCTTCAAGCACCAGGGCACCTGGGGCCTAGCAAGGCCTGGGGGCTGCTCCATCACCTAGAGCCTTTCCCTGTGGCAGGACACATTCACAGGTGCAGGTCTCAGACAAGGAGTCAAACTAAACAAACCAGGAAGTAGCTGGCTTTCTGCTGCTTTGTGTTAGGCAGGCTGGGAGCAATGCCCCCGAAGGCTGGGGCTGCCTGGGCCTCCCACCTCTGGAGTCTGTGGATGAGGCCAGCAGAGGACCCTCAGCAGCTGCCCTCACCTCTCTTCCTCCTCAGCCCTTTCCTGCCCTGGGGTGGCCCGAGGAGGCTCCCCTGTCTGTTTTGTCACATACTTTCGGACTTTGAGTCTCACATGGCTCCTGGACAGAGGCAGAGTTTCAGGAGCGGCACACCGGGCTGAGCTGTAGTGTGCTCTAAAAGCCAGGGCAGAGGTGCCCCCCACACACACCAGGAAGGGGAGCTTGGGAAGGGAGGAGGAAAGGAGTCAGGCTTCCAAAATGCTGGTTTAAGTCATAGCCAAATGGGGATTAAGAAACTCAGGTGGTGGTGGGAGGCCTGGCAGAGAGAAGGCACCCAAGGGCTCAGAGGGAAGAGTGAGGGCCTAAGTTGAGCTGTCTGAGGGGCTGCTGGGAAAATTTCTATGGTGTCAGAGTGTGTGTGTGTGTGCGCGCCTGTGCACACACAGGCTGCTACACACACACACACACACACACACACACACTCCCAGGGAGAGCTACAGGAAGTGTGTGCCAGAAACTGCGGCATTCCTCTGCACCCCCAGCCAGCCCTCTCTGCAAACTGCTTTCTCATGGCTGCCAGGCACATTTTCCTCCGCCCTGTGCTCTAGGCTCTACACTCACCGAAGTTGACTTCCCCTCTCTTTACAGCAACTGTACAAACACCTGCATTTTATTAATGCTGCCTGGAGCTGGGATGGGCTGGAGCCCCTCAGCTTTCACCCCACCTCCCCACCATGCTCAGTGAAGCAAAGCACAAGGGTTAACCCTGTGTGGCTGGGTTTCTGTCCTGAGATGTGGGTTCCCATGAGGAGGAGAGGTGGAGTCCCCATGCCCTAGACATCTCCCCAGGCACCTTGGGAGCCCCTGGCTCTGGACTTACCTTGCCCTAAGCTTTTGGCCTAGTTCTGTCGTTGCTGCCCCTCAGTTCTCTTGCCAGAAGATGAAGACACTATTCTGCCTTGAAAGAAATCCTTTAAGACCAACTCCTCAAGCCTAGCCCTTTAAACTTCTTTTCCATCCCTCTGCCTTTAGGAGCCACTGGGACTAAACAATTCCAGAAAAATGGCTGCTTTCCCCTTTAAAATATGTTAAGGAAAGCACATAGAATATAAAAATGTCCCATAGTCCCATCACCCTGAAAGCCCTGTTAGCATTTTTTTTTAATGCAATACATGCACACAGCTCTAAAAAAGGCATTGAAGATATATTGTGAAATTTTGGTATCTCGCCCCTCAAGCGACAGTTGCTCCTCTCAAAGATAGTGACTTAACAGTTTGAGTATCCTTCCAGGGAAAAATGTGGGCATCTTCCTTGTTTTAAAAATAAGGCTGGCGGGTGGGGGATTTAGCTCAGTGGTTTGGCTGCCTGTCTCACAAGTGCAAGGTCTGGAGTTCGATCCCCAGTACCACACACACACACACACACAAATAAGGCTGGAATTCTTGCCATATCAGCACACAGAGATCTTTTTCATTTTTTCCTCCCTCTTCTCTTCCTCCTCTTTCCTTCTTCTCTCCACCCCTCCTTTGTTCTTCTGGCCCTTTCTTCTTTCCTGCCTCCCTCCCTCCTTCACTTCCTCCCCACCCCGCAGCCTCCAGAGTCCTGGGATTCAGGTGTGTGCACTGCACCCAGCTTTCTTCTGTTCTTTTCAGTGGCTGCATGTGAATGCACAGTGTGGTCTGTACCACAGTTTATTTAACCAGTGAACCAGGGATGGGCATTGGCAGCTTCCAATTTATGTCTTCAAGACACTACCTACCTGGTCTTTGGAGTGTATGTATGTGAAGATAACGGCAAGAGAATTCCTTTCAATAGATTTCTGAGGGAGAAGATAAATGCATTTCATACTTTGTCTATACTATTGTTTTTCTTTTTTGAAAACCATTGATTCTTTTTGTCAAAATCTTTATTATATTTATAGTTATAATCATCTTTTCACTAACATCTTTTTTATTATTTGTATATTAATTGGTACATTTTAGGTATACGGTACATTTACATTTATCATTGGGTGTTTGTACCTGAACATGATGTATCTTGGTTCTTATTTTTTCTCCCATCACCTATGCGCCCTTCACCCCCTCCACCCTTCCCTATTTACATAGACTTTGTTTCCTTTTTTTTTTTTTAAAAAAAACCATTGATTCTTTTCTTGCCTTCTTCCATTTTTTTTCCTACCAGGCAAACTCCTAATCATCTGTAAGACTCCATCTCAAATATCATCTCTTCTATGAAGCATTCTCTGATTGCTTCATGAACAACCAGCTTCCTCTCCCATGTTTCTTGAGAGGTCACCTGGTTTTTAGGTGTCTGTTTTCCATATTGGGTCTCGACGTGAGGACATTGACATATTTTCTTCTGGCACACAATGCTTTTGTTTTAATGTGTGTGTGCGTGTGCAATTCACCTTCTGGGTATATACCAAAAAGAACTGAAAGCAAGAACAGACATTTGTATACCCAAGTACAGGGCTGCATGATTCACATTAGCCAAAAGGTGGAAGCAACCCAAGTGTGTCCATCAATAGAAAAACCATCCATCCGTCATCCCTGACACATGCCACAATACAGATTAACCTGAAAGACATTATGCTAAGTGAGATAACCCAATCATAAAGGGACAAATACTGCATGATTCCACGTCCATGTGATACTCACAGTAGTCAAAATCACAAAGACAAGAAGTAATATGGTGATCCTCAGAGGCTTGAAGGAAGGGAATCTGGGAACTTTGCATTTAATGAGTAGAGTTTCATTTTGGGAAGATGGAGAGTTCTGGGGATGATGGTGGTGATGGTTGTAAGACAAGGTGAATATACTTAATGCCACTGAAATGTAAACTCAACATAATTACAATTGTAAGTTTTATGTTAGGTATATTTTGCCACATATACTTTCCTTTGTGTGAAAAATGTGCTATGGCATAGGCGTGCAGTTGCTGGCCAGCCCTCCCAGTGGGTTGCTGTGGCCATCTCTTACCTCTGGGGCTGCTGATCCATCCAAGGCTAGAGAGTACTTATCCTACTTCCAGATATTTCCAGGGAAGGGAGCCCATTACATTATTAGGCAATCTTTTCCAGTGTCTCAAAACCTCAGACATTCTTGGTACCAGACCTTTCCTGAGGCACCTGAATTGATTTTCCTTGGTCAGTAAGTGCTTTGTCAGGCCCTTAACACTTCATACTCTCAGAGGCCCTCACTGCCCCATGTCCAGAACAGATCTTTTGGTGCCCAGTAACAGTCTGATGAGTGGGCTTTGGGGGCTCCAGAGAGGCCTCCTCTCATGCTTGCTCTTCATCAGCATGATGGAGAAGCAAGATGGGGCTTGGATTCCTAAGCAAAGCCTGGGGTTTCGGGGGCCCCAGAAGGTGATGGAGTCCACTGTCTCTTCCCTCATGTGGGATGTGGTCTGTTGGACAGAAGAGCTTTATCTTCTTTTTTTTTTTTTGGTACAAGGGATTGAACTCGGGTCCTTGTGCTTGCGCAGCAGGTGGCGAAACCGCTGAGCTAAATCCCCAGCCCTATCCTCTTGGATCTACACCAGAAGGCCTCTTGTTAACAGACAAGTACCACAAGGCCCAGGACAGGGCTAGCATGTCACTGCATCACGTCCCTAGACTCTCATATGACCAGAGACCTCATGATATATTAATCAGCTGCTTGAAAGGTGCATATGGCAGGCGTGTTCTCTGCACCCTGGAAGATACTAACTTTGTCAGCTTTGAAACATCAAAAGGCTCCCAGGGAACAGGCTGAGAGAGACACATCACTGGGCTTCCTTTGACCACAGGCTTGCGCAGCCATGGCCTGACTCAGCGGAAACTGGTGTGGAGCTCGGAGGTTGTGGGGACTTCTGCACTGTGAGGACCTGCTCTTGGCCCCCTTCTGGGCAAAAGGAGGGAGAATCTAAACAGTGGTCCACACTTAGTACCTCAGATGTCACTGCTGCCACAAAGGCAAATCTGTGTGGGGGTGGGCACTTGTGACCTCCTCCCGTATGACCCGGGGGGTCAACAATGTCACTGGTGTTCACACACTGAGTCTGTCACCCCAGGCCCATGTTGACAGGCCTGATCCCAAGTTCTGGGTTATAGGAAAGACTTGGCCTCAAGCAGGGCCTGGGCCCTCAGGAAGACAACAGGCCTCAGGTACTTCATGCACGATAAGTCAGGTGAGGCTCCATAGTTCTCCATACTGGGGCTCCATATTCACTAGACGATAGACACCAGCATTAATGTTAGTACAGTTTGTGCGTTATAAGATGGCCTTGGGCCTTTCTCTCTCCCAATCAGCTAGAATGTCTGACATAGTGAATTCCAGATACCCTTGTGGAATTTTCATTACGATCAGGTTGCTAAGGAACTATCCTCTATCTATAAGCATTTTGGAAACACTAACATCAGCAGAGGGTTTTTTGCAGCATGTGTGGGTTTTTAAAAATGTATTTATTACTCTTTCTTCTCCTACCCATCCTGGCTCACCCTCTAAGGAGCTGGCTGGCATCAGGAAACTCCAGAAAGAAGGAAGAAGGAATGCAGAAGGAATGGAAAAGTTTTCCCAGGCTTCACATGCAGACAGAGGTTGTGTCTATATTGTTTGCCAGTGAATTCCCAAGGCTTTGTGTGGCAGGCAGACAGAGGTTTGGATTAATGTAGTCATTGCTGTACACCAAGGTTCGGGTTAGTGACAGCCCACATACTAGACAGTGGCCCCATAAGATCATGCTGGAGGTAAAAAATTTCTGTCACCTAATGACATTATAGTCATTGTAAAATGTAGTGCATACAACATATTACTCACGTTTGTGATGCTGGTCTAAACAAACCTACTATGCAGCCAGTCATGTAACTACACAACTACATATAGTACATAACACTTGATAATGCAAATAAATGACTGTGCTACTGGTTATGTATTCTAGTCTACCTATATTGTATGGGTTCTTTTTCTTTCTTTAGGATTTTTTTTTTGTCCATTGTTTAGTTTATTTTCCTTTTTTCTTTTTTGGTACCAGGTAGTGAACCCAGGGCCTCATGCTTATTGGGCAGATACTGTACCACTGATCTACATCCCCAGCTTTTTTTTTTTTCAGTGTGCTGGGGGTTGAACCCAGGGCCTTATGCATGTTAGTGTAGGCAAGCACTCTACCACTGAGCCCTACATGTTATGTTTTCTCATTATTTTAAAGTGCATTCTTTCTGCCTATAAAATGGTACACTGTGTTACACCAGCAGCAGCCTCGTGTAGCTTGTGTCTACTGTGTGCCTTGATTGCATTGAAAGGACACACTGAGTTGTAATCCCCTGCACTCTAGAGGGCTGCAGCAGGAGGATCACAAGTTGGAGCCCAGCTTGTACAACAGCAACTTAGTGAGACTTTATCTCAAAAAAAAAAAGGGGCTAGGGACATAGCTCAGTGCTAAGACCCTGGGCTCAATCCCTAGTACTGCCAAAAAGAAAAAAGAAGGAAGAAAAAGAAAAAAAGGCCATACCAAGTGACTGACTGAGTGACCGACCTGTATTATCCAGGTTTGTGCAAGTTCACTTTGTGATGCTCACACAAGGACAGTGTAACCTAATGATGTATTCCCCGGAGCATATTCCTATTCTTAAGCCACAAAAGACTATAGCTGATAAATCCTGAAGTGAGGAAAAATGGTCACAGCGAGTTCACTGGAGTTGCATGAAATTCCACAGCAAATCTGTGAGGCAGCCAGGAGGGGAATGTGCCCTCCAGGAGCAGGCGGATCTCTGCAGAAAGCCATGCCAGCCTCTTTCTAAGAGTCCTTCTGGTGGCACTGGTGGCCCTGAGCTCTCCAGGAGAAGGCAGAGCCAGGGCAGGGCGGGCCCTGAGGTTCTGGACTGGCTTTGGGACTGGGCTTCAGATAGGACCCAAGGCATCAAAAGGCTGAGGAGAGCCCTGGTTTTGGTAAATCTGGGCCTTTCTGTAGCCATGGGCGGAGGCACTGGCTTGGCCCTTGGCTGAGAGGGGAGCTCAGGGCTAGGGCTCAAGTCCCTGGAGGCACCCCTGGAAAAGCCCTTCTCCCAGCTGCTCCTGCTAGGACAGATCCAGAGAGCCTGGAAGCAAGAGGGATAGTGCGTCTCCCTTGCTTCCCCTAACAGGCCCCCATTCTTTCTTAAGGAGAGGGCTTCCTGTTACTTTTCAGCCAGTTGGGGACAGAAAGCCCCTTCCAGCTCTGATTGGATCAAAATAGCAGGAAGTAAAGTATGACTTTCCAGGAACACTCTGGACTTGGAACCCCTTCCCCTTGAGTCTTGGACTGGAGAATCAGAGGACTGGGAGGATGGGAGAGTGACTAACTGGAGAAGACATTTTGCTGTGTCTCAGTTTCTTCACCAGGAGTCGGACATCCAGGGCTTTGGAAGGTTCATCCAGGAAAACACCTGCAGTTATAGGCAGCTCTGACCAAGCTGTCCTTCCCAGCCCCCGCTTGGGAGACTGCTTTGGAGCAGAACATCCCTCCACCCACTCTCCTTCGTCTGTGGCCCAAACACCGCTGCCAGGGCTGAGCGTGAGATGATGTCCATTTTGCTGAGGCCATCGGAAAAGTTTAGGACAAAGCAGGCTTGGCTTCTGGCTGATATCTGTGGCCTCTGCTGGTCTCATGTGATGTTCTTGGGGAAGTCGTGCGCTTAAGGGCCACCGAAGGACTAGTTCAGTAGTTTGAGCCTTTCCTGTTAATTTCCCCTCATCCCTCCATGCTGCCTTCTTCCCACTGTCTCTTACTGGTCCTGCCTGTCCCAGCACCCGGCACCATGGAGCTGCAAGGACTCTGGTTTGTCCCATGAAGTCAGCTGCCTTCAAGCCTGGTGGGCTCCATGGCTGTGAACAGTTGGAAGGTTTTCTTTTAAAGACAAGTTGGGGAGAAGGTTAGAGAGCCCTGAGAAGCTACGCCTGTTTCTTCTTTATTTTTCTTTCCCCTCTGGGGCTGAGAGACCAGTTTTTTTTTTTCTTTTTTTTTACAGTACATTTTTGCAGGCCCCATTTTTTTTCTAACAGAAAAAAAAAATAACAGGCATATTTTGGGCGATTACTCAACTGGGGTCCTTTGTGACAGGATATGCAGCTGCGTGACTAATGGAGCTGGCTTTCTCCTGGCTTCCTTCCCCTTTCAGAGCTCTTGTTTACTGCCCTATACAAAAAAAAAAAAAAAAGCCATAAGCTACAGATTTTTATACATTAAAAAAAGCCTTGTGAGATACTCAAAGGCAGTAAATCCTTTGGATATTCCCTTTCAGGGCTGCAAACTCCCCACCCTCTCTCACTCCTCTTTTAAACGCTTGAGCTCTTGACTCACACCATGTGAATCTTCTCTCCCACCCCCATGGCCTTGCTTTCCTCTGAACATATGTCCAACAGATCGTGTATGCGCGCAAGGCAGGGTGGGGGAGAGAGGCGAGAAGCAGGAGAAGGAAGCAGGATGGGAACCATATTTACGGTGCTTAACTCAGCAATTGCTAAAGGGAGGAATAATGGCTTCCAGGGGTGCAGGGCCTTTTTTCCAGAGCTTTTGTGTTTCCATAGTCTATGTCAATTTTGTGGTGTAAGCAAAAGTTATTGGAAAACATGGAACCAGCTTAATGAGTAAGGGTATGTTCTAAACAGGGAGGAACTGTCTGTCTCTTTAGAGGGGAAATCCAAATTGGCTAGCTTTGCAATTCTGAATCCATGGGCTTCCCAGAGAACTTTTGGAAGGGACTGTCTCTGGTTTATAGTGTCCAACAACTGGAATTGGCCTTTCTGTTTTTCTAGAGATCAAATGACTTTTAATTTCAAAAGGTATCTAGTCTGTGGGTAGGAAAACAAGCTAGCTAGTCAGGTTTAATAGAGATAGATTGGTGCAGAGAGAGGACAGGATTGGTGGCCTGGTGGTGGGTTTGAGTGTCAGATGTGAATTGGATAGAACAGGGCATGTGATGCCTGCAGGTCTTGGTGGCTCGGATGGTGTCCCTGCCTTCCAGGCTGCTGGTAAGAAGAGTGAGATGACAGAAGCACAGGCATGGCAGGAGTTGTGAAGCAGTTTGCTGTGATCCCATCTTTCTAACTCTTCTTCATCTAAAGGGCAGGTCTGTGCTCCCGAGGGAAGACACAGGCTGGGTATCTGAGAGCCACGATGTCCACTGAGAAAGACAACAGTGGCCAGGTCATGTTGTCTCACGGATGCTTGGGAGGCTGGTATTGCCTCAACTTTGCCTGCTCCCTTACATTGCCCAGGGGGCCTCAGGATTATAACTGATCACAGTCTTCTCCTACTCAGGAAACTCCCTGTTTGACCCACACTGGCAAAAGGGACCACTTACCCTATCTTGCCTGTCCTTTCTTCTGTGCTAACTCCTCCTGTGCACACGTGTCCTGGGAGTGAACACTGGACACGACATAGCAGCTATAAACCCAGCATTTTCAGGGGACATTGTTCGGAGGCCCTCTTTCCTCCTATTCCACTTCCTCCTCTTCTACATTAAAGTTTGCTCATAGTCATTTTTTATAAGGTTGCACTTATACTTGGCTCCTCCCAAAGTCTCCACTGATTAAGAGCACCCTAAGCAGGCACATGAAGCCCTCCAGCCAGCTTTAGCAGCTATCTCCTCTCACTCCCCATAGGTGCAAAGGCCCTTGATAAAGGGCCTTGGCTTTATTTCACCAGAGGGTGAACTGAGGCACCAGACAGGAAACTAAATGGTCAGAGTTTACACAACAAGTCAGTATCATAGACTGAAATAGAAACCCCAAAGCCTGATTCCAGTTTGCCTGGAGTTTTAGGAGGCATCTTAGCTTGAATATCCCAGAATAGCTTCTCCTAGGCTGACCAACTAACTGTGAAGTGATGTGTTGTAAGGGTTATTTTTTGCCTTGGCTTAACTCATAAAACAACACCCCAAACTCCCAAATCAGCCTAAGAAAGTCCATTCCTTACAATGTCACAATGTCAACTCCTTGCCAAGTTTAACCCTAGTATATTACATCATGGATGCCTTCAGGCCTCATTCTCAGCTCACGTCGATGCTCAAGTATCTGAATTGAGTTCAGAAGTCACGGTTTATTGAAGGAAACAGATCATTAAGTCAGACCACCGACATTGCTTATGTGGGGAAGCTGAGCATTAGCGAATGTTCTCTTCACTGGTGTGGACCTGGACTAGCAGCAGCTGGTTAGTGAAGGGTGTGGACTTCTGATGGAGCAGGGCCCCTCAGGGCTGATGGGAAGAGGGTCAGGGCAGTGGTTTGTCTCAGATGGCTCATGAAAGTTGATTGTTAAGTTTTCAGGTATTTTGGAAAGTGGTTGTTAAACACGACAATTATTAAAAATTAAATGATATAAATTCATAACTAAATGAGACATTAAAAACAAAGGCATAGGGCCGGGGATTTAGCTCAGTGGTTTCACCACCTGCCTTGCACGCGCAAGGACCTGAGTTCGAACCCCGTATACCAAAAGAAACCCAAAAAACAAAGGTCATAAATGCTAAAAACAGATCACATCCTAACTATTGTACCACAGTTTACTACACTCTATTTTCTTGAATTATATGCCTACCATATACAGATACATGCAGTTGCAATACCACGGTGAACCTTTGCCCAGTTCCACACATGGTGACATCATATTGGTAGTGTGAAATCAACCATGGTAGGAATATTTACACCACAGAAATTGGTGCACTGTGGTTTCAGGGCTTGATTTTTGTTTTGTTGATCATCTAAACTTAAAGCGATAGAGAAAATATTAATAAAGTACGTTAAATATAAATGTGTGCTGTGTCTGGGGCAGTGACATTGTGAATAACTCAAAATATTGAGGTAATGTTTTTCCAGTTTTCAAAAACTGTTACTCAATTTGTAAAGAAGTGCTCACACTATGGGAAAATTAATATAGTTCTAAAATACAGTCGTGCATAGCTTGATGGAGAGATAGTCTCAGAAATGTGTTGTTAGATGTGTAAACAGCACAGAGTGTACTTAAACTAAGATGATTATGGAGTC